AATCCACAATTATAAGAAATCTGAACCTCGGCTACTCAGAGGTTCGATAAAGGAGGAAAATTAACTATGGGGGCTCCTGCCAGTGCTGATGGAGCCCATGGCAAAAGGAAGTCATCGTCCAGAGGACACCATAGGTTCGTTGGAGTTAGGCAGAGACCATCAGGGAGATGGGTGGCTGAGATCAAGGATTCTTTGCAAAAGGTTAGGCTTTGGCTTGGAACTTTTGATACTGCCGAGGATGCAGCTCGAGCTTACGACGATGCTGCTCGGGCCTTGCGTGGAGCTAATGCGCGCACCAACTTTGAGCTACCTCAGCCAGCTTCAAAAACGCCTCGCAACCGCGTCTCGCTGGATAACATTCAGCCTTTCTCGTTTGAGGAAGTCTGTGGGACGGGAAGTGATGCTGATGGGTTTCTTGGTGCACTGAAGGCCAAGTTGCTTGATGGCAAAGGGCTTAGAGTCCTATCACCTGCTAATTGTTCTGGTTTGCAACCTAGCGTTGGTTCTAACTCTACCCATAGCAACAATAACGTAAGCAGAGAGTCAGGACCGATAACTGTGGCTCCTCAAGGAAATGGAAACATGAACCCTGTTCAGGGTCCTGCAAATCCTGGTTCTAGCAAGCCAGACCTTGTCCTAAATCATGATCATGAACATGATGATCAAGTGGCTGCAGGTCATATTGGGGTTCAGTGGCATCAACCTGGCCAAAGCCAAACTGCATCTGTGGCGAGCATGATGTGGTCCAATGAACCGTCATATGAAACAGCATGGGGCGAACAGATGAACCAAGTCCATCCGAATGGATTCTTTAATATCACCACTACTACACCTACCACATCTACATGGCCACTTTCCGGGGCCCCTGAATCAACGATGGACTTTTCGTTTTCGGACCAGTGCCCAATAGAGTTGCAAATGAATCTGAATGGCAAAACAAATATGGTGGGCATGCCAATGACTCAAATTGATGGAACAACAGGAGTTTGGCCATCCGAGAAGCAGTTTGTGCACTGTGACAACAACGGTTGGAGTGGTGCTAATGGCTCCTGGGATCCTTACCTCTATGTTTCCTCTGTGCTTGATTGATATCAGCCTATCACAGATTCATCATAATTAATGCAATGAAATTCTTTCATTATCTATCTTCTTTAAAAATTGTACAACAACATTCACCAACTAATCATTCTTTACTTTGTGCCCATAGAATCCCAATTAAGATGTACTTTGAATACTTTTCGTTGGGAAAAGCACTAAGAATGTACTAACAATTCTATACACTAATAGGCATAAGCATCTAGTTATTACAGATTGTAATTCGTTCCCCTATTCTTAAAATCCATTTTATGATTTATCCAATACTAATAAAATATCTTTCATAGAAGAAAAATGTTTCTATAACCTTAATCTGATAAAGTTCATATTAATAGTGCCGTAATTTAGAATGAATAATCAAATTATAAGCCCCGTTTTTGCACTTTGATAGCTCTAATTTACATTTTTTTTATAAAGCAGCAAGAGATTCCTAAACTTTATTCAGTACATCTTTTTTCGAGCCGATCCGAATAAATTTTTTTAGACTGATCTAATGAATTCATGGGAAATTACATACAACTAAAAGCTGCTATATTAACATGGAAAGTAGGATGCCTCAATCTTTAGACTTGCATGATTTTACCCAGCTGATATTTTGGTAAACTTAATCACAATATGAAGTTGCTTTGATCATCATAAGTGCATATTTTCAACTAAACTCCCTGGCCAAATCCAATAAACTGATAGCTGGATCTGCTCTGCTGTGCTCCGCTGTCTGCAGGATGGAGAAGTCTATCAAATGAAAATTGATACTACATTAATCCCTAAGATTCCAAGAGGAATGACAGATGTGTCCAAAATCCAAATGCTGAAGAACATCTTGATTTGATTATGGCCTGAGGTTCATGGTACTAAGAAAATTGATAATGACCCCTTTGTATAGTTTTTCCCAACTACTCAAAATTTGGGGTGATCAGACAACATAGGAGTGTCCAAAACCAGGGATGAAAATTAATAATAAAAGCTGTCTACCAAAACTGGCTAACGAAATCCGAACAAAAAGGTTTTATTCCTATATCCATACAGGATGCTATCCATCATTTTTTCTTAGCTCATAGCTTATGTCATCTCAAAGTGGAAACAAGAGTGTCGCTTGATGTGGATAATTATGTTTGTAATAGGAGTCCTAATCATTGTCGGATGCGAAATGTTGTCCTAATCCGACATATGATCTTATTTCTGTCTTTTATTTGGTGGGAATAGCTAAGAGTGTATGTTTGGAGTAGCTGAGTATGGACCAAAAGCTTCTAGTCTTGGTCATTATCTGCACTAATAACGGCTTACAAGATTTTGTAAGGGCAATCTCTAAAATGCACCACAACTGAATTGCTTGCTGGCCATAAAATCTTGACTGGCATGACGAACATTGTCTGAAAATTAAATATGGAAGTGAAGTGGACATGGATTAATGCTTCGATATGTTGCCAGAGCTTGGCAAAGGATTCCAAACTAATCTCCATTTGTTTGAAAGGATCAGTCAAAAGAAAGTGAAAAGATGAGAATAATTATTAAACTACTGTCAAAGTTGGGTGCTTAAAGCATTGAGGTGATTTGAAGAATTTAATCTTGCTTTGTTCTTACTGATTCCGGGGTACTCCATCTATTTAGAGCTACAGATGTCTGTCTCAGCTATGCTACTAAGAAAATTGTTCACAAACAAAGAAAGGTTGCACCACCCTCACCTCGGCTCTGTCGACTGCTGGATATTCTTCTTTGGGGCAAGAACAAAGAAATGCAGAATTGTGCACCAAAAATTGCGCAAGAAGCCAAAAAGATCGGGGAACAGGAGGTTCAGTTACAAGTCATCACGGTTTCTTGTGCTTCAAGTTGTCCTGAGGCCGAGTAGCATTTAGCTGCCTACCATCAACTTCAATATTCATGTAGCATTCGAATAACATATTAATAAATACCATCGAATATGTTTCGACTTCTCTAGTTATTGTTCCACAAACATAGAAACCAAGGAGAAATCTGCTTTACCATTTTAGCGATGGATGCACAATTTAGTCCCAGGATTGAGAATCATGATATGCCACAACGTTTATCAAGTAAAAGTGAGAAAGAAGATTAAACATAGTATCACCCTATCATTATTTGTATATATTTGGAGGTAATAAAGGTAATAAGGAGAAAACATAGTGATAAGGTACCATAAAAATGTGATCTCCATAGTTTGACGTGCTTTTGGTATAAAATAATGTTTGATATAAGATAATCATAAAATGATTAAATTATTGTGTTTGGTAAATATTTAGTGATTCTATGTAATACTGATTTTGAATTATCAAGAATGATCAGATCATTATCTTGAAAGATGATCTAAATCTTACACAAAAATATAAAAACTTTTATCATTGAATTGAAGTGATATATATATAAAAAAATAGTTAATATTATCCATTTAATACATGAATTAGAAACTTACTTATTCTTGAAATAGTATTATTTTATATTATAAATTTTTGTATTTTCAAATTAATATTAATTGCAATATTTTAAAAATAATTTGTGTGTTTTTTTTAATTTTTTTTAATATTTTATATATAATATAATTTTTTTCTTTTATTATGAATTTAATAGATTAGCTTTATTTTAAAATTCAAAATTTTTTTTATTAATTTATATTATCAAAATTAATTTACCTATCAATAAATATATTTATTAATTTAATAATTTAATTATATTTTATTATAAAATAAGTAAAATATTTCTAATATTTTACAACTTATTATCTTTAAACAATATTAAAATTCTTAACCTAGGTAATAATTACAATATATATGACTATTTTTCTATTTTTAGATAAAATAATATTTGATTTTTAGTTATACTAAACACAATTATTTTTAATTCTTAAAAATTAATAATTGTTAATAAAAAAATAATTTTAAATTACGAATGATAAGATCACTTTGATAATAAAATGATCTTGTTGGTTTTATTATGATAATCTTATAAAAGATACGAATTTTTTTTTTTAAATAACCAAATTACATAATGCTGTTTTCCATGGCAAAACCATGCTTGTGCACTTTATAGCAACCTTGCTCCTGAATTTTTCGGATGTACATTTTCATCAAATACAATCTCCCACCCTCGATCAATGCTTATTTTTTGGTTACATCAGGAGAACAAAGCTTTAGCACAAGTAAAGAGGAGGGAGAAGGCTTGGCTCGAAACTAGGCCTTTGATGTTGATTTAAGGTATGTATAACGGTAACTTTTCCTTCAGAGCCTACATGGTTCTAAAATACAGTAATAGTTCCCCTTTGATAAATTAACTTTGAAATGCAGTATCTGGACATGGCGAAGCAATTGCGAGTTTTTTGTTCTTGGATTTCAACTGAATCCAGATTGCATATCAGGCTTTCGTAGACCTTGTAAACCATGTTATGACTTATATATAACAGGGTGAACAATGATGCAGCATCTGATATCTCTGAGCCACAACAATGTCCACAATGTCATTTTGAAGGGCTCACAAGAAACAAGAGAGATGGAACATTAAAAATTGCAATATTTATCCGTATAAGAGAATTCATCAGAATAGATCATCTCGTTCAATTGATGACTCAAGAATATGAGTACGTATGAACTTGAAAGTTAAACACTTAATTATTATTAATTTGTATGGTTGACACCATGGCTAACAATCATATGCATGCAGAAACAACTAAATCGTACCTATATCAAAGACATAAACAGGAAAGAAACATAGTTTTGCTATGGGAATACGCGGATTCCCTTAGTCTTTTTTTTTTAATCTTTTTTCTTGCTGTCACGCAAACTTAATCTTGCATAGTAAAGCAATACAGAGATTTATTTTATGCAAGTATCTTAACTTAGACAGGACTTCTCTTCAGTACTTTTGCACCGAGTTATAGCTGCAATTTCTTGTTCATTAACTTAATCGGAATGTTCGCTTTCGGATGAATCCTTCTCTCTTTTCTTCCCTCTCCTTCTGGGCTTATCTGCTGGCATCTGGCCCTCTTGATCAAAAGCATCCGAGACGTCCAAATGGACACCTGGATCATTGGTGTTGTAGCTGCTGTTGAGCATGATTGAATTGTTCACAGATTGGAAATTGCTGTTCACGTAGGTACTCACTGCATCAGGCTCGCCAAGTGAAATTCCATGGGGACTGGATTTCTCATCCAACTCACTTCGCATTGTGGCTCCAGCATTGTTTCCAGCTAGTGTGATAATTCTCACACCATGCTCATCATCATCATCTTCATGGTGGCTTGATCCCGGTTTATGAATGCCAGGTATGCGGCGAGTTATGGCAGAGACCAAGTCTTTGATATCTTTGTCAAGTTGTCTATGTTTATCACCTTCATTAGTGGACTGGTCAGGCTTGCTTGTTTCGAGAGTCATTATTTTGAAGAAAAACAAGGTTGGGTTGGGAAGGAAGAAATTGGCTGTGATGGGCAAATGTGATTTTGAGTTGGAGCTCAAACTGAAAACATTAGATATAAAGAGTAGCTGTGGGACCAAAACTATTTGATGGAATAAAGAAGTGCCTTACATGGCAATTCAAGGATTTTAATTTATTCCCCGTTTAAAGGAAGGGGATTGCTTGACACTTGGTTAAACTCCAATAGACTATACTTTTGTCACTCTCACGTTCTTTGATTTTTCATTCAAGTGATTTGAAGGGAAAGAATCATTCCGATGTTGAAGTGATTTAACAATTGGTTTCAAGTGATTTGATTATTATCCATGGAAGTTGAATCTTTGAACTTTGATAGATCATAAATGTTTATTAAGCCTGGCCAATTAAATTTCCAGGTCAAACCAGAATAGCGCATTTCCTCCGCAGAAAAAGAAACCTCAACAATATTTGAGCGCCCTAGGCTAGTTTGACTCTTAAACAAGATGGATATTTCGAAATAAGCATTTTCTTTTTTTTTTCTTAGATTCCAACTAGAAAGTGAAATGTTGAATTAATGCAAAATTTTTGTTGAATTATGATTTATATTAGCAGATTAGCAATTTTCCTTTGGGTAATGGCATTATTGACAGAAGAAGGTCTTGTTTTTGTTCTTTGAAAGGGCTATCAAAACATTCATGAAAATGCCGTGGAACCTGTTGCTATCTTCTGGTTAGATTTCAGAGAAATAAGAATATTAGAAAGATGCCATCCTTGTTCTAATCATTTAACAAACGCAGACAGATTGCTGCATCAAAACCTGGGTTCAATTCTTATGTCTCAAACTTGGCACGAAGAGTAAATTCCTTCACCAGGCAACTCGGTCCATCTTGTGGGAACATATTTGGGACATGAAGAGGGTCTTGGGCCTGTTGGCCCGTCTGAATTTTGACTTTGTCATTTCGAAAAGTCTGAAGCAACTCCTGAGTTGGGCTACTTCTATCGTAAAAACCAGAAGCAGACCCAAGTATGCAACTCCAGAATTATTGAACAACAACCAACAGGCAACTGCGTGTGACCCTAAACCTGCTGCTTATTGCAAGTGGTTTTTCTTTTCTGTTTTTTTAGCGTTCAAGTTTCAACTCCTATTGGCTATTTCTTATTTTCTTTAATAAGGTGAGCAGTCTCCAATTCTTCCTTAATGCACATCATTATTGGCTGTCCCGATAATGGATGATTAAAAGAAAGAACACAACAAATCGTTGCCTGCCTTGGTTTCTTAACATACCAAACATGCAATCTACATTTATACCATATACCCGTTTTATAGGCAGATGTGATGGGCTGATTATCATCCTCAATTTCCCTTGTGAACCAATCTTCCTTGCCCTTAATAATGAGTCAGAATACTGTCATTTTCATTGTCATTTTCTGATTTCCTGCCAACAAAGCCACTCTTTGTTCCGACACATAACTTTTCGGAATTTGTTAGCCACTAATAACATTTTGTATCTCTTTGTTTTGACACAATACCTATTCGGAATTTGTTAGCCACTAATAACATTTTGCAAATAAGAATTGAAAGGTCAGTGAGTGATCCAAAATAGCCAAAAACCTTCTATAACAATAGAAAGATTAAAAACTAAAAATTTAGCCCGATAAGGTTCAATGGATTTTTTATAAGATTGATATGGGTTAAGTTTCGAACGGATTTTACTCGTCTCGAATTCGATCCGATATTATATAAATAATATTCGATTTGATTTGATTCGAAATTAATAAAATATTATTTTTTAAATATAAATATTTAAAAATATCATTATATAAATATAAATAAAATAAATAATTAATTAATTAAAAAATAATTTTTTATATAATATCAAATTGAATTAAATTTACTTAAAATTCGAATTCGATCTGATCTAAATTATTTCATAATTTTAGTCGACTCGAAATTTGAATTTCAAAAAAATAAAAATCCACCTTGTAAAGATAGATAATGTCGAAACTCCTTGTCGGGAGGCGTTAGATCGTCGATCCTAATTTTTTTAAGAGCAAAAAACCCAGATTGGAAGATGCTTGCAAAAAAACAAAGAGTGACACGGAATGGCGCGGGTCCACTTTTCTCCAATGGCGTTGCGTTATTAAACAAAACATTCGTCGTCTGTTGGTTAGCCAAATTCGTAATTAAGTTACATGAAATTCTGAATGGAAACTGTCAAATTCGATTGGTCAGTATTCTTTTTTCTCTCTCCCACTTGCTTGTATTGTTTCTTGTTCCTCTTTCTTCTTATTCTTTGCTGTTGCTTCTTCAACTCTCAACTGTCAACAAACTCTACAGAGATTCAAAGTAACAAACATTCTTCAGGTACATGCTTCTTACCTTTCTGTACAGAAATTTCAACGCCTGTTTCTTTTTTTTTTTTTAATACCTTTTGTGTATATATTTGTCAGTGCATACTAAAATTTCATTTGGTCTGAGCCAATTTCGAGGCTGAAATTAAGTTTTCCATCTTGTTGATGGGTTATCTCTGGTGGGTTGATTTTAGTTTTATAGTATTTTAATAGATTGTTAGTTTAGAATCAAAGAAATGAAACTATGAAAGTGTTTGTTGCATTCTGTTTCAAGCATTTTGAGGGGTTTAAGCTTGTCGTTTTACAATTTTGCTTGTTAAAATTAAGTAATTTCTAGGGTTTTGATTGACTGGTAGTTTCGAGGAGTGTTTTCTTTTTTTGGAATCAACATTGAGGGGGCTTGCTGGGAAAATTCACGAGAATTAGATATTTTAGAACCAAAAGGTGTTGTGTTAAAGCTGTAAATAGCGATCAGATGCAGAATGAAGGTTCAAATGGGACTAGCACCAGAGCTGGTGACCAAACCAGTAATTTACCTGAACCTGACCTTGAGAAGCAGGGAAACATCCCAGTGTTGCCCGAGGAGGAAAGACAGCCAGGCTCAGTTGGGGGTTCAGCTTGTGAGGCAAATCCTACATTGTTAACCATTGCGGTAATGAAGGGCGAGTCACATGTGACTCAGCAGCCACTAGCTAAATTATCAAAAGATGTAGACTCCATTAAAGAGGAATTGCCTCGTGTGGCTTCTCCAAAAAAGGGGTATTTCTCGAGGACCACTAGTTCTCATGAGCAATGCAGGTACGTTATACTTATTCTGCATCTTCCACTAATCATACTTCATCGATGAATTGTTGGGGTTCCATAGAATTCATTTTCCTAAGCATTTCCGTTGCCTTGAGAGTAGTCTTTTTCCCTTGTTTATACTTTCTAAACATATTATGTACTAATGGAGTGTGTATATGTTAACTCCTAGGTTCTGTTTCATTACAAGATATCAAAAACATGAACTGTAAAAAGGTTTTGGTGACATTAGATCCCTGTGATTAGGCTTCAGCATATGCTTCAATCAGATCATCTTATGTGTTGTGGCAAGTCAACAATCTTAACTATAACATTTGTTAGCATGATGGCCTTTCAGTTCTTGAATTTGTTTTATGGAAATTAATCTTGAAAACAATCTGTAGTATCATGACTATGACTCATTACATCTTTATTGTTCTTCAGAGTTTGTCAACAGGAGAAGGAAGAAGGTCTTATAGATCTTGGATGCCAATGTAAAGGTGGTCTTGCAAAAGCACACCGGTCTTGCATTGACACTTGGTTTCGAACAAAAGGATCCAATGAATGCGAGATATGCCAGTAAGTTCTTCAAAATTTGATTTTCTATGTTAAATTAGTTTATTTCTAACATAATCATGATTAAATTTACTGTTTTCATGCAGAGCAGTAGCTGTAAACGTGTCAGCTCCAGACTCCGAGACCAGTGTAGGTATTCTGTGCTTAAGTGAAAGGGCTATGGATAAGTTTGCTTGTTTCATTTAGTCATAGCCTACTAGATGCAAGAAGTTTGATATCTTCTTTGGGGGTTTGGTTTGCTAACAAGAGTGTTTCATTTCCTAAACCAAATTAAAGCTGGATAATAAAACAAAGTTGAAGATAGAAATCGGCTGTGTATGAGTGTTAGTTTGTTCATTTGGCTACTATTGTGCATGCCTTATACAAATTGGAGAGAGAGAGTGAGATGAAAGACCCATTGAAACCCCTGTGATTTTGCGTTCTAGCACTTTAAGAGCATTAGTAATTGATGATATTGAGTTTTGATCCAAAGAAAACATTGAAAACTGGTGCTGCAGCATTCTAGTATGTTTTGTGGTTTATTTGTAGCATCTCATAATCATGCCTATGGATTCTCAAATTTGTTTCATGGTGCAGACAAATTACTGGGTTTGGAGGGTTGATCCAAGCTTTACGCCACATGACCTTGAAAGGGTAAGTGGATAACTGCAGCCAGTCTACTGGGATCTTACTTGTTCTTGAGAAAATTCTACTTGTCTTTGTTAATTTTGCATCCAATCTCTCCTTATGACAGGGCTGTTTTAGTCCATTATGGGTGGCATTCTCAATCCTTATTGGTGGTCTATTGTTGGATGTGTTAATATCCATTACTCTTGGTGTCTCTGCACTGCCTGTTAACATCTTAATTGGTATGTACACCTCACTCATATTCTTCCCATACTTGTTTATAGAAATCTCATTCTTAACAGGTAGCTTTTATGCTTCATGATGTTGTAACTTGAAGAGACATTGTACAGGTGTTATTGTTGTCCTAGGACTTGGAACTGCCCTTCGACTTGCACTGGAATTCTGCCATGAGTGGAGTATTAGGAGAGCCGTGCAAAGGGCAGAAACAAATGCAACTCTTGGTTACCTTCCTGCTTTGTAGGTAAATCTGTGTATGGTAAAATTTGAGTCTACAAGCCTATTATTGAGTTCTTGTTGTTTGGTATATAGTGTTCACTGTTCAGCTTATGATTCTGGGAGGGCACTAGCACTCACATTTATACACGATGATTCAGTTTGAGACATTCTCCTTGAATGGTTGGAGAATTTATACAATCAAATTGGATGTGGAACTTTTGTTTTGGATATGTATCTCATCGTCTCAAGTTTCGGTGATGAGGGGTTTTGTATGAGTAATTTTGTTTCCTGTAATTACATTAACTATTAATAGTTGTTTTGAAATCAAAGGGATATTATCCTGGATTCGTGCAGTGGTTTTTCATAATTTGTATTGATATGTGAACCGAACAACCACGGGAAAGCAGTCTACAAAAAAAAAAAAAAAGGTCAATTCGATTTCCGCTGCTTTTGATGGAAGCTGCATTCTTTTGACTTGAGTGGAGCCTGATTATATTGAACAAGCAGCATCGCCACTTGGTTGTTGTTGCTAGGTTAATGTTTGGGTTCTCTTCTTTATTTAGGAAAGAAAAACTGATTAGTAGAAATACTGTTTTGTGATTTTGCTGCATCTCCTTTGCCATAGTAGAAGACAGGATGTAGTAATGTAGTTATAATTGCAGGGATTAGAAGTACAGACAAGATTGGCTTTATACGGTACGGAGACACGTGCGTGTGCGAATAAAGGTTATGGCTTCCAAGGCCGGCCGAATCTTTTCGATCATCGAAGTTAGGAAATCATTTTCAACCAACTTGTTTCAACGGTTTATGTTTGATCTCTCTTGAAAGTCTTGTCTAGCATTTAGCAGTAGCTTAGTGGCAGACCAATGATGGATATCCAAGCGGACAGGACGATGAAAACCAGTAAGCACTGGAGCCTGCGCAGGTCTTTTAAATTAATTAGACGGACGTAAATATTAACTCGTGATTTTTGACATCACCAAGTAAAATAATACGAAGCATGTAAATGATCAAACAAAAATCTGAGGTAAAAACTACAAAATCATAGACGGAGGCGGGCGCACGACTCTCTTAGAAAAAAGGAGATCAACCCAGCAGCTTTTGGCTCAGTGGCATGCCTTTCGGCGTCTTGGGAGGATTGGTGGAGTTTGAGACGTAATTTCCTCCTCATGTCAGGTAAGCCCTGTAAATGGTGGGATCAGGTGGGGTTCAGCATAAGGTAAAAATATAGGCTAGGGGCTACAAAAGGTAGAAAAAGCAAAAAGCGGCCATTACTGAGGTTACTTTTTTGCACAGTAAGAAGGAAGGCTTGAGGGATAAGCTAAGCACAACATAAAAGCGTTGGAGGGGTAATTTAGTAATTATGCGATCTCGTGCTTCATTTTACGCGGTATGGGAAAAAAGGCGGAGCCCAATAGCCTGAATTTGCGGTCCAAATTGGTTATTATAGGCTGCGAGCGGGTCTTTCGTCGTCCCTTGTAAACGCATGAAAATGGTTAATCAATCCAATGAATGGGACAGCGCCACAGCCGCAAGCCAGCAAGCACGGACAAGATCACGTGAGAATCACATGATGTCTTTGACTTTATTGGGCTGACTGCTTACCCCTACGAGGAAGGAGGAGAGAATTGCCACCAAAACGAAAAGGAAAAGAAGCAGCCTTGGCTAAGATAACGGAAGAAGGTGAAGAAGACAATTTTAGTTGCGGCAGAGAGAGTTTGACTTTTTTTTTTAAAGAAAACTAAGAAAAAAGTTGTGGTAGTAGAAATTGAGTTTAGGGGATTAGCAAAGGCGAAAATGGCAGTTTTAACGAAGGAAACTTTACCTTTAGGATTTAGATTCAAGCCGACAGACGAAGAGCTCATCAATCACTACCTTAGATTGAAGATCAACGGTCGTCATTCCGAGGTCAAGGTCATTCCTGAAATTGATGTCTGCAAATGGGAGCCCTGGGATTTGCCTGGTATTTTTGTTTTCTTTTGCGATTAATTTAGTTTTACTAAGAAAACAAGAAGAAAGAAATTATTGGGTGAAGAATTGTTCTGAATCTTTGATACCTTAACTTAGCCAAAGCGTCAGCTTTAATTCCTTTATTCCCCAATACATGAAATAATATAGTTCATAAATTTGATTCCTGCTTTCTGCCACTGGCAATTTTTGGTAAACCTACTTACATGCTAAGAATTTTTAATATTCCAAAATTAGTCAATTTTTTATTTTTATTTTTGGATGGTTGAAATAAATCCAGGACTGTCGGTGATAAAATCGGACGATCCGGAGTGGTTCTTCTTCTGGCCGCGTGACAGGAAGTACCCCAACGGCCATCGTTCCAACAGAGCAACGGATAAAGGGTACTGGAAAGCCACGGGTAAGGATCGAACCATCAAGTCTAAAAAGTCACTCATCGGCATGAAGAAGACCTTGGTTTTTTACAAGGGCCGTGCTCCGAAGGGCCAGCGTACTAACTGGATCATGCACGAATACCGTGCCACCACCAAGGACCTTGATGGCACCGCCCCTGGCCAGGTTTTCTTTTTAATTTTTAGTTGTTTACAGTTTTAAGTTACTGCAAATATTATCACTGGCTTAAAAACTTGTGCTATTCTTAGTTTTATGGTTTGATTAAAAATCCAAGAAGAAAAAGTCAAAAGAGAACCGGAATGATTTTATAACTTTGAGCTTTTCTTTGTTGCAGGGTGCTTTTGTTCTATGTCGATTGTTTCATAAACCAGAAGAGAAGAATGATATTGTGAAGTATCATGAAGTAGAACAAATTGGATATTCTCCTACCATGACAAAATCTTCTCCTGATGACGCTTCATCCGATCTTCTCCAAGATAATATGTCATCTGAGACACAAGCTCAAAAGCCTGATGACTTAATGCTAAATGGTCAAGTAACAGGTGACAGCAGCTGCAATAGTCATATGACTTCTGATTTAGAAGATAATGCTGCTGACGAAACTGTGGTAGAGGTGAGAAGTGGATAATTTATCTATACTTTGGCATCGTTGCATTCATCATCATTTTTTCTTGACTATATTGTGTTGTGATTCTTGACAAGAGACTGTTGTCTTCCTTTTTAACACAGAAATATCCGCTTCTGGGAGACAATTCGAATTTGTGTGAGCCTAGATTTGGTGAAATTGACTGCAAAGTTTTCTCGCCAATGAACTCATATTTATTTGAAGATCTTCCACCCTTCATGGATTCTCCTTATGCAAGTGATTTTGGCCATGATCAAAATGGATTTCATTTCCAGGATGGGACTGGTGAACAAGATGTATCTTTCTCATTGTTGGATGAGGTCTTGAATAACAATGATAACTCCTATGAAGAATCAAACTGTCAGAACTGGGTTACTGGAACTGAGATACCTTTATCTGATAATGTATTCATCTCAAAGACAATTCCACCAGAAACCTCCTATCTCAAACAAAACGGCATATACAGTGACGCAGACACAGAAATGCCACAACTACAGGTAAAGGAATAACTTGCTACTAGCTTTTATGTTATTATATAGGTAATTAGCTGTTTTTTCTTTAGTTTTCTGGGGCTTTACTTCTGGTTTCTGCCTTTTTTTGTATTTATTGTTACGATTTTTGCTTTTGAGGCAATTTGATTTAGTTTACATTGGATTCTAACTTATGTTTGATAATTTCAACTTCTTTACCAGTATGAAACAGAGATTGGAGCTCGCAAGTGGTTTGGTGGGCATATTGATAATAAGGAATCTGTGCCAATGCAAACTTGCTTTGAGTCTGGCCATACTCAAACAGAACTTTATGACCAAGAGTTTAGAATTGGAAATATTGGTGGTCTTGGAAATTATTCTGTTGGCCAAGCAACTTCATCCACTGATTCTCCAATGGGTAATATTAATAATTTGCAGCAATTAACCAGTCTGAAGAATTATATGAATAATGGTGCTGATCTTGATGGTGGAACTGGAAATAAGACTAGAACCTACCAGCCTCTGCAACAATCAAATTCTGAAAACTTTGGAACTCTTGAAACTGACTGGAACTGGAACTGGAACTGGAATCAGGATTAGGACCCGTGGACCTCAGCAACGACCAAATGCAGACAACATCGTAAACCAGGGAACTGCTCCAAGAAGAATACGCTTGCAAATGAAGCTTTCTACTGGGCCAATGAAAGTTTCTGCAGGCTGTGTTGATGACGGCAACATGAGAAGTGCCAGCCTTGGTGAAGAAGAAGAAGTTCAATCTGCTCTAACTGAGGTAGGGTAACCAGGAAAAGCTAATTTTGGGCGCTGTTGATATATTGAAGTGTATTTGTCTTACCTTTCTTTGGGTTTTGTCTAAGGGCAGGTATGATATAGGTTTACTGAATTACATTTCACTTGGTGAGAAATATCTTTCAATGCTTTCAATGCAGGTCACACAAGTAGAAGCTACGGGACAGACTTTTGGCTCTGATGAGTCAGAGAAAGAGAACCAATTACTCAAGTTTGATGGCAGCGATGATATTGCTGAAGAATCTTCTACAAAACTGAGGCAGAGGGTGAAGCAAGATGGTAAGCATCGTAGCAGCCAAATGGGCTCATCAGTGGTGGATCCAAAATCAGCTCCGATGCATCATTGCGCAAGCTCCCTATTAATTCTCGTTTTCACTGTTTTCATTATTACAATCTTGTTTGCTCTTGTCATGGGAATATGGAGATGACTTAGATCTTCAATTCTTGATGTTGTTGAAATAGGCTGTAGGTAGGTAGTCCATTTCCCCGCTGCATCATCATAGGGAATATGATCAGGTTCTGTAAATTGTATCCCATGTGCATGCCTATGCTGTGAAGAATAGGGAGTACTGTGTACAGAAGTTACGCAATGGCCTGCCTTTTTTACTGTTGGCTTATAGAGTTTGTCTTCATATGTAGGTAGGTAAGAGTGTTTTTTGTCATATTTCTGTACCTTCCCTCGTCAAAATTTTTATCGTAGCTTCTGTGGTAGATATTAGATTTGAAAAGAAAATTGCAATTTCATCTTTTTTTCCTATTTCTCATATCAAATCAAAAATATATATTTTTTTCATTTTTCTCTCTTACTAAATCAAATGTAAATGTTGGGACTTAAAAGATTTTGGGGTTTTCCTATCTCATATGTTGTCTAAAACTTAAATTTTTGTGACTTACAGTCAACAGTATCGAATTCTAAGAGTGCCACCGTGCCAAATTCTAAGAGTGTCACGTTGTTTGTATGTTTTTTGTTTTAATCTTTTCATTTTTTAAACTTTTTTCTTCTAAAATATAGAATAAACATTCTTCAAAATTATAAAACATACATTTTTAATTTTTTTTTTTGTGTGGGATTTATACCAGATTTTTCTTTTTGCATTTTTTTTTGACTTTTTTCTTTAAAATTTTTAAAAAATAGAAACTTATTAAAATTTTATTTTTTTAAAACTCACTTGATATCAATGCATGTTACATTTTTTTAACTTTTTTTTATTTATTTAATAAATGATTTTTTATATTTTAATTTTTTTGTAATCCACTTGATATAAAAAAGATATAACGTGTTAAGTCATTTAATTAATTTTTTATCTTTTTAATTTAATATTCTTTTAAAATTATTTACTATGGGGTTCATTTGACATGAATATTTAAAAAATATTTTTTTATTTTTTTAAATTTGAGACAGTGTTAGTGTCACATCCAAATTTGATTTTTTTAAATTCATTATATAAATTTTTTTTAAGAAAAATTCATTATTACAAATGTCAACTCATAACTCAACTTTTTTTTATTTTATTATTATTATTTTAAATAAGATCATTTTTTGAATAAAAAAATAAACGTATGTACATGATACTTTTTTTATTATTTTTGATTAATCAAATTATTATTTAATATTTTCATTAAAAATTTAATATTTTAAACTTAACCAAAATGTCTACATAATATTTCAATAAAAACTATTTAAGGTGCTTTGTTACAATTCACTTCGGATATATATATAAAAAAATATAGTTTATTATTAATTTAATTTATATTTATAAATATTATATTAATAAAATTATTATTTTAAATTTTATATTTTAAAAATTATTATTTTAAACTCAATTTGGGTGTTAATGTGGCATATTGTATAAACTCTTTTTTTATTATTTCCTTTTTACAATTTTTTAGTTTTAAATTTTTTTTAATTAGATATATTTTATGATAATAAAAAATTAATTGAAGTATTCACGTGTCATCCATGTTTAGGTATTTATAGTTTTCATTTTTTTTAATTAGATAATGTTTTAAAAAAATGAATAAATATGACAAAATAAAAAATTTTACCCCATAATATTTTTGTTTGATGAAAAAATTAATAACCAATAAATTTTGATTTATTTCAATTTGATATTAGTGTTTTTGAAAAAGTTAGTATAGAATCAAATCACGTATGTTTTTCAAAGAAAAATGGAGACGAGTCAAAAATAAATTTAAAGTATTTTACTTCAAATCACTCCATGATATATATATATATAAGTATATATTTTATTATTTATTTAATTTTATATAAATTTTTTAAGAAAATAATGTTAACAAAGATGTTCATGTAACACTTTGTTTGTTTATTTATTTTTAATTTTTTAATTAAATTAATTTTATTATAAAATAATTTGATTGATAGAAATAACAAATTAATTAGTATTTGATTTCTATGTGTCTCGATTTGATATAAGTATTTTTGTAAAAAATTGATATTAAAACAATTTTAAGTATTCAGATCTCAGTTCATTTAGATTTTTTTACTTTTTATATTTTTAAAAATTAGATAATTTTTTTAAATATTTATGAATATAAATGGTAAAATAAAAATTTTAACACGCTCCAGTCCACAAACAGTCGTTTAGAGGTAATAAATACTAACAGTAAGATGAAAGTTCCAACGGAATGACGTGGCAGAACAGCCATATTATTTTATTAAATTCTATTATATCATATCATATAGTAATAAATAATTAATACGATAATAAATTATCCGAGAAGATAAGGATCCAGGGTCCAGATAATAATAAATAAATTTAAAACAAAACTAAGAACAATGAACGTTCTCGTGGTTGCATCGCCACGTGGAAACTCCTCAACCAAGCAGCACCCTGGAAACTGCAAAACTGCTAGCGCTGCCTTCCGCGTCGTATTTGTAGACCCAGCTTTTTTTGTACCCACTCTCTAGGACGATTACTCCACCCTACTAGAAATCACCTTCCCCTGACCTCTTCTTTATAAGCATCAACACCCTTCATCTCTGACCCACCAAGGATTCATCATATAAATATTTTCGAGGGGATTGACTTCATTTGTTTGATTTGGATTTACTATATTGGGACTTCATACGAGTTTTAAGAGATGATTCTGTTGGCAATTGTAGCGGAGTTGATGGAGGAATATACGGCGCTGTTGGCCAGAGTGCTTGAGCAGATGTTTCATGAAGCTCCTTTTCCAAGGCGAATTCGTTTCCTTATCCTTCGCAGCCTTCCTTTTGTTTCCTCCACTCCCCCTCTTCTCCGAGCCCCTGCTTAAACGTTAAAACCCTGTTTTTTTACCCTTTTTTTTTTCCCATTATGATTAGGCACGAGGATATCAATTATCTGTACATTTCCGGAGCTCTATTTTCTTTATCGATGTAATATAATTTTCATTCGAAATTGCATTATGCTGGATCTTTGTTCTTCAAACTCTAGTCTGCCTTTCTCAGTAGTTCAATTTGATAAACTGAAACATGGTATTGGATTTTGTAAACAATTCAGTTTGAATATTCAGTTCTTCAATAATGCCTAATCCAAAGCCGGCTAGGGCAGATTTTCCCATATTCAAGAATGAAACTACATCGATTCATAAAATATCTGAAGCAAAGGGTTTTGATTGTTTTTGGACCTTTCTCAAATTTCGCATTCCACCAAAAGGGTTCATTCGCTAGGGGATGGAGACTAACTTAACACTGGGACAAGCATAAGGTGGGCATGGGCAGATCAGGGCATGTGAGTTGCGAAGTAGTGTGTAGAACAATCTTGTTTTTCACTGTTTATTTATCATATATATGTACCTAACCTAACATGATGTTTTACAAATGTCAACCTATTTATAGTGTACAGTAAATTTTTTATTTACAATATTGCTGCAGTGATATGTTACAAATGATTTCAGTTGTAGGTTTCTCTTATTTTTGCTATAGTGACTGCTATAATAATATTTTATCTATTTGTTACATGATTGCTATAGTTTTTTGTTTGTTGATCTTAGGAGTCGAGAGAACTTGATATTTTGTGTCGGTAGTTTGCTCTGGCTTATTCTTGTTTGGAATATGCACAGTAATTATCTTTCCATAATATTATTTATGTTATGAAATTTTTCGTCTAGTGCATTAAGAGACTAGGGTGATGGATGAGATCCAAAATGTGATTTATTTCACATTTTTCATCTTTTTTGTACTGATATAGTAATTCTATCGGATGATCTAGATCTTTCATTTTAGATAATTTTTTCAGTATTTGGATTGCTTCTGGTTTATTTTGAATATCCAGATTTTCATGGTGTTCAAGAAATCTGAGAACAAAAATATGTTTGCCATCTGTTTAACAAGCTATTTTGGGATAATCTGGCTTTGTAGCTAGATGGAGAAAGAATTTTTCTTTTTTCTTTAGGTCAATTCCTGTTTGAAAGTGATAACTATTTGGGTTTGAGTATTTAGAGATGATTTTGTTTAAATCATCTGGGAAATCAATATAGTCAGTAGATGGATCTAGTATAGTAAGGGGTTGAAGGAAATATCCACCGGATATTCTATTAAATTCTCATGTTTGATATGGTTGGTAAAATCTTTCTCTTTGAAAGGTATCTAAAAGATTGTATATAGTAAAATGGATATAATAAAAATGTTTTGACCATTTTATACACCTGTGAAAATGATGCTTTATAAAAGTTGGGAAATCTTTTAAAAGATGAAAAGAAAAATTTTGTACAATAATTTATCGGACTAAACCAAGTTCAATGCTTTTTACATCAAATGTTTTGTGATCAAGTTGAAATTTAATTTTCGGTATGAAATCACCGAGTGCAGTATTATACATATACGTAGAAGTATAATATTCAGAAAAGTTTTTTATCAACAGTTTTTCTGTTGACTGTAAAATAGAATACTTAATTTGTTGGAACAATTCATTGGTTAGGAGTACCGTAGCTTTTTCGAAAAAATAATTCTTTTAAGCTTGTTTACCTTAGAGGAATTATAATTTTCTTTTTCAAAACATTCGCACAAATTCAAGAAATTGTTTATCTCTTGAATACTGTACTGATTTTCTTTCAAAGCAAAGAATTCAATATCTTGTTGTTTTAGCATATTTGATGATAGAAAGCTTTGGAAAGCTATTTCTTTAAAATTTTAAAATTCTTTAGCCTGGTTGACTAAGAATTCAGCTAATTTAATCATCCCTTTGCGAAAGATGGATTTATTTTTTGAGAGATGAGATTTTCAAACATTGTTTAACAAATTGTAGACTTGTGGTTCAAGTCTATGGTTGTAAAAGTCTTTGATCTCTGAGTTAGAGAGTTTTATTTTTTCAAGCAGTTGTTCTGCTGAAGAAACTATTTGAGAGTAGCTCATGAGTGTCTATTTGTTTGGATCTTGAGCGAATTGAGAGAATTCTGATTGAATCCTCATGAAATGAGGTCTATAAAGTAGTTGTTAGTAGAGATATAATCCTTGGTTAAGATTATTGTAAAAATCAAATCCTGGGTTAGGATTTATAGAAAAAACAGGGGGTCTTGGAGAAGAAGAATAAGAAGAAGAGGATATTTTACCTGTTTTCTTCTTGATGGTTATCTATTCACCTATGTCATGGATGGGTTATTTTTCTCAATCCATGTGGTCGTGCTGAAATAGTTTGCAAAAAGGTTTTTGTCTCCGTTGATGAACTCTACTTGAAAATGATATTGACAAAGAAAATTATACCACCTAATTCTCCTGGGATTATCA